AGTATAATAAGCCATGACAGTTTAACTCTATTTGTGTTTCACTGCCAAAAAGTGTACCAGTTTTGATAGATACAAAAGAAAATAAATTTGAACAGAACTGGACTTTTCTCTTAGACATTTAGTTTAGTTTGGAACTTACTACATTTGGATTTGCTTTTTTATGGCTTGGTGAACTTGGTAGGTAGAGCAGTGTATTGCTTTAAGATGCTTTGCTGGAAGTCTTCATCTTGGCAGCGCTACTGAATGTTTTCAGCCTCACATGTGTTCTCCATGGAGTTCTAGGAGTATGACATTATTTTTTTCTGAATTCCAAGTGCACTTTAGGTTATCTCACTGTGTGTTGCAAGTAAGTTCACAATATCTTTAAATTTCTGTGTGGGTACCTTGAAAATTCTATTCAGGTAAATCGAAGGATTATGTTGTGTTCTGTGCTTAGTATCCAGAGTGAAAATTTCCATTCTAATTTTGAGGCTTAAACGTTTCAAGATCTTTCCTGTGTAGTATTATCCTTGTAATTACTGTGGCATTTGAACTTTTCTGTGTGTGTTAGTCTCTTTATCAGAGAAGGCAGGTGGGCTCAGAGGGTGATCAGGGAGGGATTGTCATCAGGCTCCTTTATCCCTGTTCAGGTCAGTAAGATGCCTATACTGTACATAGATTATAAATAATGCTGGTCATGTTTGGGAAGTATAAAAGTATTCTTAAAACCATTCACCTGGCAGGAACTTAGCAGCTAGAATATACAGAAAATGTTGTGAAATTGAACAAATGAGAAATGGTATGGAAACATTTTGGTAATGGGTTAGAGATACAATGAAAGAGGAACAATCGAAAAAAAAAAGATCTGTGCTGTTCATCTTTGTTTCACCCAGCATGTGTGGCAGGAGGCAGTGCATACCATGAAAGCTCATAAACTGTTTGGTGAGATAATGATTTCCAGAACAATCCCAGAATGACCAAAGGAAGACTTCTGAAAATATAAAACTAGGCCAATTGTAGAAATGTCATGGAAATCCCCCTTTAACCTTAATAAAAAGCACTACATAATTCAGAAGTCCAAGTACAATGTAAGGTATAAACAAAACCCATATGTTGATCAATTAAGAGACATATGCAGCAGAGCATCTTCTGGCCTGACAGCTCCTTAACTCAGGATCCCTGCGCCTGTCTTCGCCTCTCTGCTGTCACTGAATGGAATGTACATGATTATTTATCTTAATTTCTCAAGCCAGATTATACCACCAGCTGAGTCAAAGCGACCTAAGGTTTGTATAACGATTTTACCAAAAGAGTGTTACTTTAAAAAGAGTGTTACCTCATGTATCAGTAATTAGCCAAAAAGTATTTCAAATACATGCAATTTCCTGTTCAAGTACCCCAAAGAGGGTTAATAACAGAATCTACTCAGCCTCAGCGAAAGGCTGTGAAGGCCTCATGCAGAAACAGAAGGGTACAGAGTATGTGCTACTGCTGTCGCTATTACTGTTACTAACCAGGCGAGTGTTTTAGTCCTAGTTGTACACCAGCATTTGCCATAATGCCCTTACTTCACTTCACTTTGATGAAGACCAAGATACATTTTTCTGAGGCAAAGACAGCTCACTTGGTCCTCTAGGCACATTTGGCAATTAACACATAATTGCAGATGTTAAAATAATAGAAATGATCTCATAGTGCCTGTCTTAACTAATTAATTTTATTTTTTATAATTAAAAAATATTTTTTCTCTTGAAATTCTAAACTGATAGACAATAGAGAAGACATCTTAATTGGTATTTACCTAATTGGATATATATATTAAGCAAACATTAAGTAGCTAAAGTAATGGGTTTGCACTAAGAGATGTCAGGCTGGAAATTCAGATGCAGAAGGTTACTGTTTTGTAGAGTGGATATACCAAATGGTTTTTTAGAGAAACCCCAGGCCTCTTATTGCAATAGGCAGCATACTGGCAATCGGGCAGATGCACTGTGAGGTTCTTGAGGTGCATCACAGCCGGCAAGTATGTTGGAGTCTGTCCAGAAGTGATTGTCTTCTTCCATTCAGTGGGAAAGGACAAAGCCAAAATGAGAATGCTAGGAAAACATATAAGTCTCTTTTCCTACAAAACAAGCTAAGCTTAATAAATCGCCCCAAAATTTAATAACATTTGCTAATTGAAAAATTATATATATTTGGTCATTTTTTTTCATTGTTACTATATAACAGCGTGTGGGTGTATATGTATGTGTGTACTATAATGCTAAAAAGCTGATGTAACTAGGGAAAGGATAATATAATCATCCCAGTCCACATTTATTACCTTGATTTATAGCTCAAATATTTCTATTCTTGTAAAATTACTGCAGATTTGGTGCTAAGAATATTGCTGGTGGATGAAGAATGATTCTGCAGCCTTTTATCTTTTACAATTTTCACACCGTCTGGATTAGTCTAACTTTGCAATTTCGCCATCTAGTGTTCATATGTCCTCAGTACTACTGCTCCACTTCATTAGAAGCAAAATAACACAGGAAGTAACAAGTTACCTTAAAAACAGGGAAAGGTCATTGTAATGAATAAGTTCAATATTCAAACTCTAAAACAGATTTCTTGTTAAATATATATTTCTTATTTATTGTTACTGTCTCATTTATTGTTTTTTATTTCATAAATACTCTATAACCACTCTGTGATGGTCATGCAAGTTATATATCATATACTCCATATATTGAAATTCTACTTATTTTATATTTTACTTTTATATTCCTCTGTGTCCCTACCTATAATTTAACAAAATTGTCATTGACTTTAAACGCAACACAATACAACCCAGTCATGGATTGAATTTGATTAGAGTGGGTTGGATTCTAGTGGAATCCAAGATGGAAATTGTATGTATTAATACTTGATTGAACTGCATACCCTTCCCAGTTTTTGGTGGGGTTACCACTGATGGCTGCACCTTCAGGAGTCAGGTGCTTTAAAAATGAGTATAAGAAACACAGAGAGGCTTTGATATGCATGAAGTAGACTGGTGTGCCAGAAAAAAGAAAAAAGTGTCTTTCTTACCATGGAGATGATTTTAGGTCTATCTTTTTTTAAAAAAATTTTTTGGAAAGTATTTTTAGGAATTAATGAGCTTGATCACAGTTTTCATATGTCCTCAGACATGATTTTTATTTTTTTTCTAGCCTTTGAGATGACTTCTATATTGTCCATTAGTTTAGAATTTTAAGGGGAAAATACTTATTTAATTATAAAGAGAATAAAATGAATTAGTTAAGACAGGCTTTATCAGATCATCTCAATTATTAACATCTGCAAAATGATTGACAACATGCCTACTCTAAATGACCCCGATGTGAAAATGGAAGACCTTAGTCTTTCCCTGCCTAATTCTGAGGTAGGTGAAGTCTCAGGGTCTATGACGATGCACCTGCTACTCACACCTAATCCAGTCCCACTGAGATCTGGTCTCCCTAGCCTTTTGTCAGCTCCTCAATTATAGGATGCTCCTTCCTACTTTGGACACTGTTTACTGGCTTTGCATTAAATCAGGAGGACCTCCTGTTCTTTGGCTCTCAGTTCTTGGCCCAAACATCATTTCCTCAGAGAGGCAACCTCTAGATGAGTCCTCTTTTGATTTTAGATTGCATCCAGTACTTTTCCTTACTACCAGTTATCACACTTTGTGATTATATACTCATATTATTGTCTGCCTAATATCTGCCCCACAACTAGGTTATATGTTAAAAGCAAGGTAGAGTAATACTTCCTTTAACACCTGGGGGTCCTAGCCACTGTGTTTGCTATAAGTTCAGTACAGAGTAGGTATGTGGGAAATGCCCAGTGAAATCAGCCTATGAGCCCCAAACTGAGAACTGAAATGCTCGTTTCCCCAGCCCGTGGTTTGCTGAAGTCAGCTCTGCTTTCATGTCACTCTTGGGGCAACCGAATGTTCACTGTGGCAGGAAATTCTGCTGCCTGTATTCCAGCTTGTCCAAGTATAGCCCTCCTCTGGGAACTTGTCACTCCCTACAGCGTGTTCTGGGAGTGGGCCTGTGCCCTCATTACTCACAGAACCGCTGACTTTGTTCACTACCACTCTTTCTGCTTCATAGGAATCAGTTGGCCATTTTCCTCCCTGCTCACCCATCTCTCCTTCCCATGTTCCTGTCCTCCTCCCCCAAATAAAAATCAAAACCAAACCAACAACAAAAAAGACAACCCCACCTCCTTCTATCTTTACTGTCAGCCATCTTCATGGATTTTCAGGATATGGGGAAGTACAGAGAACAAAATATAAAATAATATTTCAGTGAATTATCCTGCCAGCCTGGTATTCATCAGAGAATAAAAATAAATTTTGCATGTTATACAAAAGTCATGTTTTCATGGTTTATTTCTGTAGCACTTTCCTCTCTTTCTAAATAACTCTAAGGGTTCTCAGCTATCTTACAATATTAGACAAGCAATCATGCTGAGAATCCATCATTTTCAAAATGAGCTCTGCTTGAAAAGTTACAGCATGTCCTAGCAAGCTTCAGGTGTCTAGAACTGATCACCAATGTCTTTTCAAGAATGCATGGGAAATTTCAAGAAATAAAGTTAAAATTCAGAAGTAATTAATGTGACATCGAATACATACATGCTCACAAATGTAGATTTGGTATTTTGTGTAATTGTATTCTATTTTATTTAAAGTTTGGTATATGCTCATTGTTTTTGAAGGTTAATACTTTTGCTTAACATCAAATGCAGACAGAAGCAAAATGCTGAACTTTCAAATATTTTCAAACCACACTGAGAATTCCAAGTGTCCTTCTATGTGCCTTTCCGTTCCACCTGAGGTGGCATCTAGTAGACCTCACAGAAGTATGTGCTTCCTGAAAACCAGGTTGACTGATTCAATTGCCCATTCATATAAAATTCTGACACTTACATATATATATATGATAAATAAATAAAATACTGTAAGTTTCAGTCCAAAGATGGTCTTCCCACTTCTATCTCCACAGCAACACAGATGTGCACACAGTGGCATCACTTCTCAAACTGTACCTCCGAGAACTTCCAGAACCAGTTATTCCCTACGCGAAGTATGAAGACTTTCTGTCGTGTGCCAAACTGCTCAGCAAGGAAGAGGAAGCAGTAAGTCTATGCATTTATTTCTACAAAAGCTTTTGTTTGAGGGTTTTTGTCAGTGTCCTTTGTTTCCTCTATGCTGTCCTTGGATTGTTTTCCACTATTCTGTGTGTGGATATCACACACATTAAGCCTTGATACACACGACTCAGGTCCATTTTTGATCCCCTCTCTCATCAAAAAAAAGAAAGAAAGAAAGAAATGTGGCTGAATAAATTAAATTAGTTCCCCTGGCCACTGAGCTCCCTTACAAGGTTAATTGTGGTGCCAAATAGTCTATGAACAAGGAAAATGGCTTATTTTGTATTTTCTTTTTCATTGTGAGCCTCTTAATCACCTCAAACAATGACTCCTAGGAAACCATACCTACTCCCTCTTATTTTTCAAAAAATCTTTATTGAGATACAATTCAGATACTATACAACCATCCATTTAAAGTGTACAATTCATTGCTTTTTAGTATATTTTCAGAGTTATGCAACCATCACCAAATCTAATTCTAGAATATTTAACACATTCCATCACCCCATAACAAACCTCATACCTATTTCTCATGCTTCTCCTTCCCCAGCTCTTGTCAACTATTAATCAACTTTCTATCTTTACATATTTGCTATTCTGGAAATTTCATGTAAATGGCATCATTCAATAAATTGTCTTTCATGACTGGTGTCTTTTACTGTTTTCAAGGTTCATCAACATTGTGCTATATATCAGTATTTCTACTCCTTTTATTTCTAAATAATATTCCATTTCTTATCATTCATCAGTTGTAGGACATGTGTGTTGTTTCTACAGTTTGGCCATTATTAACGATGCTTCTATGAACACATGTTTTCATTTCTCTTGGGTATATATCTAGGAGGCAGAATTGCTGAGCCATATGTAACATGGTTTCCTAAAGAGGCTTCACCATTTAAAATTCCAATGTTTGCAGGTTCCAGTTTCTCTACATTTTTGCCAAAACTTGTTATCTCTCTTTTTTATTGTAGCCATCCTACTGTGTGTAAATGGGTATATCACTGAGGTATGAGTTGCCTTTCCCTAGTGGCTAATGATTTTAAACATCGTTTCATGTACTTATTTTCATGTACTTCATTGGCTATGGGTGTATTTTCTTTGGAGAAACATCACATTCAGATCATTTCCCAATGTTTAATTAGATTACTTATCTTATTATTAAGTTGTAAGAGTTCTTTATATATGAAGTCTGTCCAGAAGGTATCCAGTCATGCAATATGAAAAATAGAGACATTTATTGAAGAAGATACAAAATACAGCAAACATTGTTCATAGGACAATGACACCTCAGTCCCCTTCAAAGTAGGCACCTTGGGACCTCACACAGTTCTCCCAATCGCCATGAGCTGCCCTGTCATATTTTCCTGAATCTCATTGATGGTTTGAAATCTCTTCCCTTCCAGAGGTAATTTTAGTTTTGGGAAAAGCCAGAAGTCACAGGGCACCAAATGTGGTCTGTAGGGGAGCTGAGTCACATGGGTGATTTTGTTTCGTAAAAAAACTCTGCGCAAAATGTGATGCGTGATTGGGCACATTGTCAGGATGAAGCTGCCAACCTACCAGTTGCCTATAGCTGCAGCCTTCTGAGTCATCCAAATAGTTTGAGTGGAGGAAAGTTCAAGCTTGATGCAAATGCATTGCACGACTCACTCAGACGTGCTCAGTCATTTTGAATGCCATGGCCACACAGTACACATGTTCACGCAATGGCATCTACCACCCCCACTGACTAACACAGTGCGGTCAGCATTGTTCACACATATGCATTCCAGACCACTCTCCTTGGCTGCCAGGTTACATCAGTGTTGTGCAAACTGTTCTTGTTGTGTTAACAATGGCTGAACTTTTCCAGACAAACCTTGTAATTTAGTTACAAATACCTTATTAGTTATATGGTTTGAAAATAATTTCTCCCATTCTATGGTTTGTCTTTATTTTCTTGATGGGTGTCCTTAGAAGTATAAGAATTTAAATTGTGATAAAGTCTAATTTATTTTTCTTTTGTCACTTGTGCTTTTACTCACATATCTACAAAGGTCACCAAGATTTACTCCCTCATTTTCTTCTGAGACTTTTTAAAACTTCAGCTGTTTCATTTAAGTATATGCTCTATTTTGAGTTAATTTTGTTTATGGTGTAAGGAAAAGGTCTAATATCATCTCCTGTCACGTGGATATCCAGTCGTCTCCCCACCGTTTGTTGAAGAGACTATTCTTTTTCCTATTGGATTTTCATGGCACATTTGTAAAAATTGCTGCCCGTTTGTTACATAATGTTGTCTGTGGCTGCCTTTGCACTACAACTGAAGAGTTGAAGAGTTGAGCCAGAGACCATATGTGCCAGAAAGCTTAAAATACTTACTATTTGGCCCATTACAAGAAGAAAAAATCACATTACATCATCCATTAGCTTTTCTGGGACCATTTATATTTTAGAGGAAGTTCTACAGTGCAAAGAAATGATGCATTTTATCCCTTTGTGAACTTTCCAGAGAGATCAAGCTTTCCAACCTTCTATTCCATCCCTAACAACATGTCCTAGACATGACACATCTTGAGAGACTTATCTGTAGATATGCTGTATGTCTTGGTCATGCTAAAAATGGGAAGGACCCTCACTATATCAAGGCTGCTTTCTTCCCCCCAGATAACCTTATTATAAATGAGGCTATCTTCCTTTTCAGACAACTGTGAACAAATGTTTAAGCTATTGAAAGGGCTTCACTTAAATCCATTTCTCCACATATTTATTCTCTTCTTCTTTATACTCAGGGTGTTAAGGAATTAACAAAGCAGGTGAAGAGTTTGCCAGTGGTCAATTATAATCTCCTCAAGTATATTTGCAGGTAAGAATTGTCCTAAACACGGTAAGACTATATTTAGTCTGACACTAATATGTGTTTGACAATGAATAATATCATTTTATTGCTCCGAGCTCAGTGTTGGCCTTTGTAAAATTAAGAGGTTTGACAAAGTGATCTCAAAGGTGTCTTTAAGCACTAAAATTGCATGATTTTATAATTTATTTGTGAAGTCTCTCTTAGCTCTAAATATTAAAGCTATATTGCCTTGAACTTTAGTCAAAGTTGTTTGTACGCGTACCAGGTACTATTGTTTAAGATAAGGAGCACGTTGCTTGGCATGAGAAAGATTTGCACAGGAGTCCAAGTTTACCACTGATTTGTCTTTGTGCCATTTCTGACTCTCGTTGAACCTAAGAATCTTGAATAGGTAAAAGGGCAGTTAAAACACACATCTCTCACAGTTGTTTAAAAAGTTAAGTTATAGTTTTAATGAATTAGTGTGTATGTACTAAATACTCACTAAATATTACTTTCTTTCCATTCCTTTCCCACAGCAAGACTCACAAAAAAAAAATTTGTAATTCAATTCTGTTAGAAAAATAACTGTGCCTGGTAAAGTGCTCTTTCTCAGTGACCCTTTTTAACTTGAAGCCTGGGATGGGAACTACCATGTTTGTGCCCCTGTTTACAAAACCAAATGTAAAACTGAAACCTTAAAGTTAAATAAAGAGACTAGTGATTGACGTAATTACAGAGTATCTTCTGACAGCTTCCCAGTCCATTTTAAAATAAATTTCAAATTTCTAATTCCATACAGTACATCACTTATATATGCTTTTTGTGTCATGATTAGATAAAATGTTCAGCAGACTCGGATATGGAGTTTACAGCTATTGTGAAATACTATGGAGTTCATTGTCCACTGTAACTGAGTAGGAATTCCAAAACCTTGTGCTATAACTTTTTATGTTTCAGAAGCAAATGATACCTTAGGTTTCAGAATTTGAAAAAGCAAAACATAGTTTCACTGATATCATAAACTTATTAAAATACAAGTTTCTTATCCCAAGATTTTGGACTAATTCAAGCTACTGTACAGGATTAAAAAAAATGGTTAAATTCTCTTTAAGTAAAAGGGGGAAAAGCTTGCTTAAGAACCTTATTGGTAAGTCTTTATCTTTACAATGGAAAAATCTCTTGAAACCATTTAAGCAGACTTTTAGTTTCAGCTATTTCAAATAAGAAATAGTAGTTTGACTTTTTGTACTTCAGTTTCACCATAGTTCAGTCTGTGTAACAGTAATGAACATGTGGAAATAGGCACATTTTTGAAAAGCCATGATATAGTAATTAAGAGCACCAACTCTAGTGTCAGACAACCGGGGTACAAATCTCAGCTCTTCCCTCTAATTAACTCTGACCTTGGAAAAGATTTTTAATCTCTCTTGTGCCTCATGTATTTCATCTATGAAATGGAAATAATAATAGTGTTTACCTCACAGGGATGCTTTGAGAATTTATTGTTAGCACAATGACTGATACATAATAAAATATATTAAGTAACACATAAGATAAGTTAGCATTTATTTTCGACCATTTCTTTTTTATCTTATCAGTACAATCAGTGAGCTATTGTAAAAATTCACTGTTATCAGTGAAATAACAAAGCTTTTATAAAAGGAATGAAGGGAGGAGTTAGGGAATGAAAAAAATACTGAAAGATTACAAAAGCAATCCCTCCCACTAAAATCATTCAGGAAAAAAGCTATTTCATGCCTCTTATTCTTTAGCACCTAATAAATTGAAAACATTTTTGCTTGTAATTTTTCATATCAGTAGAACTGAGGTTTTAATTTAAACCATGTTTGATCTCATTTTTTAACAGACTGTAAATTCAGAGCCCACAAATTACTCCATAAAGAGGGTTGAGTCTTCCCCTCTGAAGTAGGGACTGTACCAGATGATCTTATTTATAATTCTCAAATTTAATATATGTATTTAACACTTTATTGAGGGATTGGAAGGGAATTCATATTCTTCAATCTCAAGTCCATATTAATGTTTTCCAAACACTTGTTTTTGTGACTGACAGAGGAAACCAATCCAAGCCAGGCCAGAGATGGTAACTGGTATGGCCCCTCAAGTTTGATTCTTAATAATTTGCAATATATTGTATTCTGTCCACATTTGACTGTTTGAATCTCTAAATAAGTTCTTTTGTATAATCATTGCTTATCATATTCCAGTTTATAAATACTTCCTAATGACTCCTTGCATTGACAAATTTGACCTCATTGTGTTTTGTTCACATTCTTACACCCAACAGATTCTTGGATGAAGTACAATCCTATTCCGGAGTTAACAAAATGAGTGTGCAGAATTTGGCCACTGTCTTTGGCCCCAATATCTTGCGCCCCAAAGTGGAAGATCCTTTGACTATCATGGAGGGTAAGTAAATGATTATCTTATACCCTCATCAAAAAATAATCACTGTCTCCTGATTGGCCTGAACCTATTGAGCAAACTAGAGAAATAAGTGAGTCCATGATAAATCCATTTACTGACTCAAGTTTTTGTAATGAAAAAAATCTTCTCTTTGGTAGTCACGCTTTTTTTTTTTTTATTTTCTAGTTTACTAAATGATTTCTTAGTAACCTTACAATAATAAAAGGAATTTCTGTAAGTCATCTGTAAAATATTAGGCAAGAACTAGACAATTCCAGCTCACTCGAGTCCAATGCAATTTCTAAAAAATTCAAAAGTTACTATTTTAATGCATTATGTTTTTAATTAATTTTGGTTTTATTTAACTGCTGTGAAGAAGTAGAGAAGGATCTTGTATGATCCTTTGTAAGACAACATTGCTTATTTACCTGTGGGTTGTAACATGAAGGAATTCTTATTTTCTAAATTACAAAGTGCCTAAAATTCTTCTCCCCGGCGGACTGCCACTGCTGTTTATTTCCTGCGGGCCTCACCGCTGCACTACCTGCTTTCCCTGTCCCCAATCGAATATTTAAGAATTTAATGGAGAAGAGGGAAGGAGAAAGAATAATTATTTTCCATTTCTTTCTGAGTTTATTTAGTCTAGAACAAACTATCTCCCTCATACTGTTCCTTTCTTGACAATTCTAACATTTTCATTCCTGTTTTGGGGAAGGGGAGTAGAGAGAGAGAGAGAGAGAACTTTTAAGTGTTTGCCCACATCAGTTCAACTTAATTTATTTTGTCAAATATCGAAGTCAATGTAAATTGAACATCAGATATTTTTGCAATAAAATAGTTGGTCCAGAAAACTTAATTTCTATCTGCTGTCTACAAACCTTTTCTTTGCATAAAATAAAATACATACAATAAATATGATACAGAAAACACCACACACACACACCACTTCTCTTAATAAATTATTATAAGATAAAGACTCTAGAAAGCACCATAGGTCAAGATATAAAACTTCTAGGGACCCAAAAGCTCTTCCTTGCACACTGTCCCTCCATCTTACTACCCAGACATTTATGTCAATAATTCCCTTGCATATCTTTGTGGTTTTATCAGCAATATGGACTTTCCTATACATTATGTTTACCCTTTACTATTCTTTTATCTGATATATTTTAAGTCTATTTTAACATACAGGAGCCCTACAATTTATGTTGAAAAATTCCAGGTTATTCTACCTGCAGAGTTCCCCACAGTCAGAATTCTGTTGATTGAATATTCCTAATGCACTTTGAGATGTTCCTCTGCCCTCTGTTTTCTAAAAATCAGGACCTAGATCAAATTCATGTCTGATATTCTCAGTAAGGCTATTGATTATAATATCCAGCATCTGGTTATCTCTATTTGTATAATCTTAGCATAATTCTTAAAACTGTTCATTCACTAGATGTTGAAATGGTGATATCCTAATTCTACAACTTTTTCCAATTTTTAAAATTATGATAAATACATAAAATTTACCATCTTGACCATTTTTAGACGTGCGATTCAGTGGTATTAAGTACATGCATATTGCTATGCAATCATTACCATCATTCATCTCTAGAACTCTTGTCATCTTGCAAAACAGAAATTCCATATTGATTAAATGTAACTCTTCTTCCTCATCTCCTGGCAAGCTCATTCTACTTTCTGTCTCTGTGAATTTTATTACTTAAATACCTCATAGAACTGGAATCACACAATATTTGTGCTTTTGTGACTGATTTATTTTACTTAGTGTAATGTCGTCAATGCTCATCCATGTCATAGCATTATAATTTTATTTTTTTAGCTGAGTAATTGGAATATTTTTATTTTTTAAAAAAAGTCTCTTTTCCTCATCTACTACTTAGTAACCCAGTGGTAACTTTCATAAATAACAGGCAGGGTAAATGCTGCTTGAGTCTTTCCCTTTATTTATTAGTTTTTAAATAATGAAATAGATTATTTTTCATTGAGTTTATTGGGGTGACATTGGTTACCAAACCTACACAGGTTTCAAGTGTGCAATTCAAGAAAACATCATTCACAGTGTGTTGTGCATCCGTCACGCGAAGTGAAGTGTCTTTCTCCCTAGATCCCCCCTTGGCCCTCATCCACCGCCCCTACCCCGCTTTCCTTCTGGCCGTCACCTCTGTTGTCTTTGTCTATGTGTATATATATTTTTATAAATATATATAAAATATATCTAATATACAATATATATTATGTAAAATATATAGCATATAAAATATATACATATATAATGTATAAAGTATATATTAATATGCATATTTTTTTGCTTAGCCCCTTCACCTTTTTTCATACAGTGCCTGAACCCCCTCCCTTCTGTCAGCTGTCGTTCTGTTCTCTGTATCTGTGCTTCTGTTTTGTTTGTTAAATTATTTAATTCATTAGATTCCACGTATGACTGAGATCATGTGGTATTTGGCTTTCTCTGACTGGCTTATTTCATTTAGCATAATAATCTCTAGATCCATCCTTGCTGCCACTTCTGAACATTCTCTAACAATGAGTTCTCCTCCTCCTTCTTTTACTTCTTCCTATTATAAATAGTATTATTAACACTATTTTAAAGATACAATCATGAACTCAGGTACTTAAATCTATTTCATGGGTCAATGCATTATAATTACTGGTCTTTGTAATTATTTGTCATTGATTTTCATCTTTTGCCAGTGGAAGCCCCTTCAAGTCACCTTCTGAGTCCTTTTGACATGACCTTAATCATTTGAGGTAGCTTCTTTTCTTCCTAGTATTTCAAGATTTCCTAGGCTCCTAGGTTTCCTGCCCCAAACCTGTAATCAGCCCATTTCCAGAGAGTTTAATTTCTAAGAAGTTTTTTAGTAGGAAATGGTATTTCAAGACCAAAACAGAGATACTAGTGATGCCCGCTGCCACAGGTTTGGTCGTTGTTTCTGGACCTTTCAGTGGACAGAGCTAGCCGATATAAGTGCATACCCACAGACATGATAACTAAAGAAACTGCCTCACAAGTTCACGCTATATTTCCATTTCAAAATCATGACTATAGAATTTTTATTTTCTCTGCTATAATTTTATCTCTTTCCTTCCAAATATGAGTCCCTGTTCTCAAAAACAGTGGAAATAACAGAATTAAAATATCTAAGAAATAGTCACTTGCTCTACCTCTCATTAAACACATAATAGCCTTAGAATAACAGTATTAGTACTACTAATACCAGTGTAATGATTGCAAACATTTAAACATGTTCTATGTGATCTCCTAATTCTCCTTTCATTTTTTATATTTGTACTCTATAGATATATGTGTGTATGTATACACACACACACATATGCAGTAGATACTATAGTCTTTTCCTTTTAGTTCTTATCTAGTTTTAGTTCCATATGTAAGGATGCATTTCATGATCATCACTGGTCCTTACATGGTTGCCTCTCTAGTCTAGTAGTTCTCAAAATGTGATACAGGGATACCTGGGGGTCCCTAAGATGCCTTCAGGAGGTCCCCAAGTTCAAATATATCTTTATAATAATACTAAGATGTTATACTGAGGGGTTTGGGGTTTTGTTTTTTTTTTGCCCTTTCACTATGCTGACATTTGCACCGATGGTACAAAAGCAATGATGGGTAAAAAAACCTGGCACCTTAGTATGAATCCAGGCAGTTGTACCAAGCTCCAGTAGCATCATCACATTCCTTTCTCACTGCCATGCACTGGCAACAGAAAAAGTGCCAGTTTTACTACAGAATGGTTTTGTTTGACAGTAGAAAATATTAACTGTACTAAATCCCCAACAGATCTTTTTGAGACAACATTCTGATAGAAAGATTAGCTGTATGTATAAAACACTTCTTCCACATGCTGTTTTTAAAGTAATACAATAATTGGTTCAAGGAAATGAATTTTGTAAGTATTTGAGTTGAAAGCTATACAAATTGCATTTTTCATGGTACTTCATGTTTACTTGAAAGAACAATGGACAGACGATTGTTATTCAGACTTGAGCATTTGGCAGACAGGTTCTCAAAAATGAACTAAATTACCCTTTTAGTTTAATGAAAACACTGGCAGAATTTGTTGTCATTGATAAAATTTGAACTTTTAAGTAAAAAACTTTTATCTAATACCTTAAACTTGACAATTACTTAATATTTAACCACTTTTCTGGTGAGATCTGGTTGATAGGAGCACAATTAAATGTCTTTGATATTCTAGAATTAAAGATATCAATAGCTGGAGGATCTGCATGACTCAGTGAATTTTTCAAATGCATGTTATCATAGGCCAGGCACATGTAAAACCTCTATTCAAAATTCAGGTTAACTTCTCTGCTTCACACAGCAAAATCTTTTTTTTCACATAGTACTACAAAACAGGGCAGCTTGCTTTCTAAAACATACTCACTTCGTTACAATCCTTGGTTTTAATTAACCTTCCATTTCTTTTATCTCTGTTGTCCTAGTCCTGCTTGTTTTTGATTCCATTCCCAAGGTTCCCCTCCATGGGAAGCTTTATCTGGAAGGGAGTTCTGGCTGGACAATGCTGTGAGTTCAGAAGGGCTAGACGACTCTAACTTCTTCAGGCTTGCCCACAGATTGCCTCTGTTGGATTTGGCACATTCCCAACCCCCGCCAATTTCACCTGCTGTTCTTAAATTAACTCTCTGCATTTTGCAGTGAATGCCTATACTTTGGGGATTTTTCTGTTCTCTGGCCCATTCTTGTTTCTTCTTACTTCCTCTCACACAGACATCAACACCATGCATGTCTTGTGGCAATGGGGATTTGTCTCTAGCAATTTCTTTGGGGGGATGGTGGGAGGATACCTTGTCACCTAGATTTGTTGTGAATATTGTCCACGAGTTGGGATTTGCTAACTAGTTGCTCTATTTTTATGTGGGGAGTTTCAGTACTATGCTGCCATAGTGTTCAGTACCATCCTTCTAGAAGTCAGTGGATATATTTTGTCTTTTTGTTTTAA